CTGGCTGGACTCATTTGAGTCCCGTTTCTCTTTTTGGGGTTTTTTGTTGTTCTCCCGCCCTGGCGGGGGGTCGGGCTAGGTGATCTACTAGGTCCCTTCTGACCCTTAATCTATGAAACTATGAAACTATGACATTTTCTCAAATTGGGGCGATTCACAGATCAAGCTATTTGACATGGTAGTCAGCAAGAATTGCCAAAACATTTGCTTCTGGGAAGGGCTTAGCCTGGGCTCATGGTCTGATGCCTTCCTTATCCCATGGTTAGGGAAACAGACATGCTCTCCTGTCTGTGCCTATAATTCCACAAGTGCTGCAAGTTGAATCAGGACTCTGCAAGTTGTACATCAGTGGTTGGGACTTTGATCACACTGATTTTTAAATCCCAGACCTTCTATACAACAAGGCTATTATTAGCTATATTTAACAATCACATTCTACATAATGTGTGTTTACATTCTGTTAGGTAAAGAAGATGAGAGCAAATGCAAGTAACCTGGTGAACATGGATGGGAGAGACTTATTAGTTTTATCTTTTCAAAATAGCAGTCTAGAATCAATTTTTCTATGGCAAAGTAAAAATTTAAGGGGTTGCAGAATACAGCATTTGAACTATGCTCTGGAGATGAGCGTGTGTAAGAAGATGCTTTCGTAAGTTTAGCAAATGGGAGTATGAGTAAGTTTGGCTTTGCTAATTATATAATGCCTAATTTTGCTCAGCCTTTATATTGTGTATTGCTTAATGGAAGAGATATAGTATTAGAATTAGATCCATAAATATCAAGTAGAAGAGATATTACTTGTAGCAAGATAAGAAATGGCTCAGTAGTAGGGCAGTACAAGAAAAACTGCTTGCTTCCTTAATAGGTGGAACCAGGTACAACACTCGTTATTATTAGTTTAAAAAATCTTTCTTGAAAAAGAGCTAGATGGTAAGTTGGGGAGAAAGGAACTTACAGTGTAGACATCTCTCAATAATAAAAATAGATGCTCTGTGCACTTTTCTTCAAGTAGTGGTATTATAAATTACCTTTTGGTAATCAGTTTGGTAAGCATGCCAACCCGAATTTAAGATTTGTTATTTGATTCACACAGGATCTTCCCAATAACATGATTCATCAAGTGGCCATTAAGTCTCTTCCTCAAGAATGGCTCTGGTGTGAAACCTGGTGTGATGATGAATCCAAGAAAAAGGCTAAAACAATTGACTTGGTGAGTTAATGAAAATAATACTTTAGTTACAAGAATAATCATTTAGCTATTCTTGCTAAAGGTTTAATTTGCAGTTTATGATATAGCCTTCATAATGCTTTTGCTGTTATTTGCATAAGCCTTCTAAAGAGTTATTGCTATGTGGGCCCTACTACCTTCTCTTGGAAGGCAGCCTCAGACTGCTTTTAGTATGTACAGATTTGCGTATAGAGCTGGTTGGGAAGCTTTGCTCAAAACTAGTTAAGACAAAAATATCAGGGATGGAAGGGACGCTGTGAAAGTTGTTTTCATTAGCCACCTTATACTGTCAGACATACTATTTCAGAAAACAGGAATGTGAAGAAAAGGAGCAAATATTTATCGTCACACTGAAAAAAATAAGGTGCTACAGTGTCCACTATTCAGTTCAGACTTTCCTAGACATGCGTGAATTAGGGTTTAAGCAGGACCTGGTTGGGTTTTATCTTTACTCAAATTTATTTAATTTATTTTAAGCTCCAGGTTTATTTTGCTGATTCTTCCCATCATGTGAGAATCAGTTTGGCATATCAGTTTGTTTTTTCCCAATTAAAAGACTACACACTGATCAGGAAATTTCTTTTTATCCAGCCCAAGGAGCTGTGTCATTGTGCTGGCTTATGGGGTTGGGCTGGATCTTGCACACATGGGATGGACCAATGATCAAGGTCACGCTCCAACCAGATCCAGCACACAGGAAAGGCTTGCCAATGCAAGACAGATTTTTTATTGCTGCACTCCTGGTGAGACACCAGGTATACTCTGCTGTTAAGTAAAGCATCGCTGTCTACATGTGTGATGGTATTAGGCTGCAGTAAATTAATTACTGTTGTCCCTGACAGTACTATCTTATGCTGGGGTAATTTGCTGCTATTAAACGCACATGTATATGCTGACCATGGGCATAAATTTCACCCAGTCAGCCCAGCCAGCTGGGGGCCAAACTGCTGCTTGCCTCATAGCCCTGCACTTTCAGCACCTTCATGCCCCAGCCAGCTGTTCTGCTGCCCAACATCACCACCCAGACCTCAGGGTCTGCAAAGTTTTTAGTGACAACCAAAGTTTTTTACTGACATATGCTTCACACAATATAAATATAACCCTTCTGCCAGACCCTGGACACCAGCTAGGTTCAAACTGAAAAAGTTTTAAAATTCTTGGTTAAAATAAAGAAGTTTTCTTCGGTTGGTAACCCTACTTGATGGTAGCAATAGTTTTTAACTGTGCTACTCCTCCCAGGGATTCCCTGCTTACCCCAATACCCTGGTATCTCTGACTGCACCCCACACCATACTGCCCTCCAGAGATCCCCAACTCACACATGCACCCTGCACTGTGTTGGGATCCTTATGCCAGGGGTCCCCTATTCATCTCTATCCCCTGGTACCTCCAACTGTACCCTGCACCATGCTGTGCCCCCAATCTTACCAGTGTCAGCCCCACTCCCCCTGTCCCAATATGGAACTCCACCTGCCACCCAGCAGTGATATAAGCAGACAGAAGACAGCATGAGAACCACCAAGACCTGAGAAGAACTGCTTTTACATTGCTGCATTCCTGCTAAGACACCAGGTATACTCTGCTGTTAAGTAAAGCATTGCTGTACATGTGTGATGGTATTAGGCTGCAGTAAATTAATTCCAGTTGCCCCTGACAGTACTATCTTATGCTGGGGTAATTTGCTGCTATTAAATGCACATGTCAGCCCAGCCAGCTGGGGGCCAGACTCCTGCCTGCTCCATAGCCCTGCACTTTCAGCACCCTCATGCCCCAGCCAGCTGTTCTGCTGCCCAACATTGCCACCCAGACCTCAGGCTTGATCCCTTGTGCCCCCTGCCAGCCTGGGTCTGCTCTGCCCCACCTAAAATTGCTGTGGTCTCAAGTGCATGTTTTGATGCTGCTCCCACGGGTAATTTACTACAGCTCAAACTGCTCCAGAGTTTATTGTTTTGCATTAATTGCATGTGTAGAAGCACCCATTGTGACATCTATTTCCCTCCACCTCCTAAATCATTTACTCAAAGTATGCTTTTCCCAGAATCCACTTAGCATAGGCAACTGGTAGGGGGTGCACGTGGCCCCCCCTGACAGCCAACACTGATGCTGTCAGCTGGGCTGGTACCCCCCCGACAGGGCCGCCGCTGTTGGCAGCTTCTGCAGGTGCCCCCCGCACCGATTCAGAAGGCACCAGTCACTCATACCACTTACAGAGCTTCATAAAGCTGGGCAGAGACAAACATCTAAAATGTAACTTCAGCATACCAATGTACTTCTAATAGCTGAAAGCAGGACACCAAGCTTACACTGCCTCTGGGTTGTTGGCAAAAAGTTTGAAGATTTTTTTTTCACAGAAGACCCATGTAGAAGTGAAAATATTTCAGTTATAACAGGTTATCATACACATTTTAGAAATGGTTAAATAACTTTAGCAGATTTTGGTTTATAGACCACTTTGTACTGTTTTGTTGAAGATCTCAAGGTAGTTAACCAGATGCCTGTTGCCCTTTAACTGGCTTGTAATGCTAACAAAATAGCTGATTAGGCATGAGGCAATTGGGAGAGATGAATGATTATGTAGGAAGCTGAAGACATTCCTGGGGACTGGTGACAGATGGTCCTGTTAGTAAAATATAACAAATGTTAGCCAGATGTTTAGCCTGACTAAAAGAGTAGTGACTGCAAAGTACGGTAAATTATAGTACTTTTGTGTTCTAGTATGAGGCAAAATATTAACTACATTTATTGCCAAAATAATTCACATAATCATTTGCAGAATTTTCTTCTGAACCTATAGAATTTGTTTCAGTACATTTCTAGTCTTCCAGAGAATTAATGACCCACAGTGATTTCAAAATGGGTGTATTGGCTAGAACAGGGGTTTGCAACATTTCCAGACACAAGATACCCATTGTTAGATGCAAGGTACTCCTCAGAAAATGCCAGCTCTTAGCTTTTACAATAATAGAGCAATCCTTCTGTTGCTAAGAATTCAGAAAGACCACAACATGTCAGAATGTTTTCAAAACTATGGATTGCTATTTGAAATCTTGTGGGTTTATCTTGTGAGATATGCTGGGTTTATCTTGTGAATCATGTGAAGATAGTTGCACACTCAATAGTACTAATATTTCATGGCACCCTTAAAAGAATCTCATGGCATCCCAGGTTGTGAATCACTTGGCTACAATCTGAGTATTTCACAGTGTTTGAATTTGTTGCTAGTTTTTAGTAGTGTTTCTTTTTCAGTGATGTAGTTGTTTCCATAACCGATGTTCAGAACACTCGTTATAATTATTGTTCATATATTGCTTTTTTTTTTAACAAGTAAAATGTTTTAAACTTTCAGTGCAATAACCCCCAAACCAAAGAACCTAAACTGAAGGCTGCTGTCAGGATAATTCCTGAATGGGTTGAGTATGACTCTGAAATACAAAAGCTAATAAAGCAAATTGAAATAGAGAAGAAAGACCTAACTCAACTGTCTCAAAAAAGTAAGAGAATAAACTTTTGCATGCATATTCATTTAACGTGACTATTTCTTTGACTTTTTATTAGTTATGTCAATGAAGATTAGAATCAGCATGCGTAACTGACCCCAGGGTTTGGGGAAGCTGTGGGGATATTTATGTTTGTAATATTTTGTAATAGTATTTAATGCCATCCGAATTCAAGCTATATTTAAAGAATAAAATATTGACAGTATGGAAGCCAATAGCAAAATTCCTTTCAATGGGAGGAGGTAAAATTTCAGCCAAATAATTAACTATGTGGTGTTTTCATTGTGATCGTCAAAGTTAAAACTTATTCAGTTTTGCTCTTACATGGAAAATGGAAACAATGTGTTGTTCAGTAAGGTTAGTCCAACACAGATTCCCCCTCAGATGAAATTTGTTTTCAGTACTCTGAAACATCCTGCTTAAATCTCTAGAAAAAAAATATTTATAATATCTTTGGAATAATTTTTTTATCATTTCATAATACAAATAAAAGAATATAAACCAAGTCAATCATGTAAACAAAGTGTGAGTTCTTTGTGCATTATTTTAGATATGTGACAAAAGAACATCTTTAAAGTTCTTCTTGAGTTAAGCATTTAGAAGTTAGGAAATGCCAAATTTAAGGTTGTCTCTGCCAACTTAATTCGTTCCCTGTGCGTGTTCATATTACTGTGATACAGTCAGATCCCTGCCTCATTCAGGGCATGGTATTGACCTTCTTTGGTACTGAATCATGGTTGCCTGGGAAGAAAGCTATTGTCTGTAGAACTCTGCTTCATTTACTGCAGAAGTAGAAAGGTGTATGCTAAATGAGGCAGGGAATTGCAGAAAGAGGAAGGAGAGTCTCATAGGGAAATGTATTCATAATTAGTTGTGAAGCTCTTAGGCACTGTGGTGATGAGCACCATAGAAAATCCCAAGAGAAAACAATAATTTCTCTTCAGAGCAGGATTTAAATAAATAAGGCATGAAGCTGCATTTTGAACAGTGAAGATAAAATATTGAATAGCTGTTTGTTCAGTGAGCACCATCCATTCTATTTAATGAATGAGAAGTCCTGTGGAATAAAAAGTTTATGGTTATCTATTTAAAAACTGTATCATAATGCATACACACAAGGGGTAAAGAATTAAAATTGCACAGAAGTTCCTAACTTTCGAGTGCTTGCCTCTGCAGTGTTAGTAATATTCTTGTACTGTAGTTTGGATGCATAATTTTGTAGGTTTTTTAAAAAAAGATTGGAAAAAAACCAAACAAATGTCATGGTGTGGCATCCCCTTGAAAACCATATGGTTCATCTTTAGTGATGAAACCTCTAGATCCACCTGCTCAGACCTCTGTCTTGTGCACTAATAAAGTAACTGATAGCGCTGGCAGGTTGCCATCTTCTATATAGACTAGCATGAGCAGATGAAGAGAAACGTACTTTATCAGTCAGTTTCAGAGTTTTTTTGTTGAAAAAAAAGGAGTGGAAAGACCTATAAATGGTAGGTTCTTTTCCAGGCTCTGGAGGAAACATACTGTATTGGATTCAGATTGTTCTACTCATTCCCCTCAAACTTTCACCCATTTTTCTCTCCGTTATTCAACCATACCCACATTCCCTGTTACCACTGTTTATCAATCCTACTATTCTTCCCCAGGCTGCTAATCCAATCCTGTATTCCTGGACCCTTGTCCAGCTGTCCCTCATCCCTTGTCTCTTTTTCCAACCAGTGTGTGTCTACACATGTGCTTTAATGCACTTTAGCCTATTTTAATGCACATTAAAGAATCACAAAAAAACCATTCACTCCCATTATGCACATTAAAATAGGCTAATGCGCCATTTTCTAGTACCTCAGGGCATTTGTACACATGCTTGCGTTGCGTTGCGTTGCATTGTGTAAGCGGCAAAATGGGCGTCAGCGCTGAGGAAATGGCAGCAGTGTGCTTTTGAACTAAAATACGGAGGTGTTTTAGTTCAAAAGTGCTTTGATGCCATTTTCTGCGCTCTGCGTGCATTTAGCCACTTGTGTATTGTGGTGCGTTGTGTGCAGTTGTATATCAGCTCACATGCAGAGCAGACTTGATTAACTGAATCTGCTGTGACCCAACAGATCTTGGCGCATCGCTGGACAGAAAGATGTATATACATGCCCTCACAGTGGAAGTACTACATTTAACATACGTTAGCAAAAGTTCATTGATGAATGTATAGACATGCTCCCTGTGCCCACACCCTGACTCCTTATTAGCAGGGATCCTAGTTTTCTTTGATAAAAAGATCCCCAATTTTTGGATTAAAAAATGGAAACCAAAATCCACATTTTTCCATGATTAAAATGAAACACCACTATATTTAATACCTATACATTAGTGGTGTTTATTTTAATCATGGAAAAATGTGGATTTTAAGGGGTTTTTTATATCCAAAAATTGGGGATTTTTTAAAATTAGAAAAAACCAGGATCCCTGCTTATCAGATCCGTCTCCCTCACTTTATCCTTGCACCACTGGCTCCCAATCCGTTTCTTGCCTGATCAGCTGTGCTTCTTCATCTGGTTTCAATTCCCCTGTTTATTTACTACCTCCTTGTCCCAGCTGCCTTTCCTGCTGTCCTTGCTGAGCATGTCACAGGCTATATGGTGTTCCTGACTTTGAATTACTTTCTCCTTACCCAAATAGTTCCAGTATCCTTACACTCCAACCCAGTCTCCATTTCCTCCGACTTTTCTAAACAAATGATGGTAAATGCCAAGAAGGGTAACAAACAAGAGACAGATCACTCCGGATCAGGAGTGGTCAATCTCCAGTCTAGGGGCTGAATCTAGCCTGCAGGGGCTGTTATTTGGCCTGTAGGACTCAACAGTCCAGAAATTTGATGGCAGGGGAATGGTGGCAGCATTAACTTCTGTGACTTCCAGAGCTGTGGCAATTTACGTTGCCACCACTTTCCTGCCACCAGATTCCCAGACCTATGGGAAGCCCCCACGAACTGGATGTCACAGTTCTGTACACTGGATTGCACTAATGCAGTCTTGATCCACAGCCAGATCCAGTACACAGGGTCAGGCTAGCATGCCAGATCACACTCACAGACTGACCCTGCATGCCAACCCCATGCTGGATCCAGCCCATGGACCAGCCCCATGCCACTCATCTGGCCCACAAGGCCTGAAGGTTGAGTGCCACTGCTTTAAAGATACCCACAGCTTTCCCTCTTAAAGCCTCTACTCTTGCTTGTGTTGAAGATGTAGTGGTAAGTTAGATGGACCATTGGTCTGACAGTACAGCACTTCATATTTTCCTTCTTCCCCACATTAGCTAGTTCCCCAAGGATCTGTGCCCCAGTATGTTTCCTGTCTACCCTCCCAAGTCCAGTTCTCATCCATTGTGCATTCTGACTGGGCAGTTTTCTCCCCTATATGGCGTGCTGCCACCAGGGAGGAGCTCTGAGAATCCAGAGTGCATTAGCCAAGCATTCATGTTTGAATTCTGATTTTAAAGAGTTATAATGTGGTCAACCTTTGGGCAGATTTTCACAAGGATAGCAAAAGGCACATCCTCTGTGATCCCTGCCTCATCTCCTGCTGCGCTTTCTGCTTCTTGCCTTTCTGCTGCTGTACTACCTGTCCCCTTCCTGATCTGCTGCATGCCTCAGACAGAGACTGACACTTGTAGTACTTGTGCTGCGCTTTCTGCTTCTTGCCTTTCTGCTGCTGTACTACCTGTCCCCTTCCTGATCTGCTGCATGCCTCAGACAGAGACTGACACTTGTAGTACTTGTGCCACAGGTTGGCCATCCCTGATATATCTCATCAGGGTCATCTGGTGGGCCCACCATGGTGGTCTCATACTCCCATTTCATAGCTTCTCTCTACCTGAGCCTGGGCAAGCTCAGTTCTTAAATTTATGTAGAAGTTAATGTATCCAAAAAAGTACAGTGATTTTGTTCACAAAAAAATGTCATTTGATTTTTTTTTTTTTTTTTTAAGTACATTCCAGATTCAACCCATTCCATCCTTACAAAGAAAAGTATCAGGCAACCTTTATAATAGGAGATGCTACTCATCTGCCTATAGTAACAATGAAATAAAATAAACAGGATTTTAGATTACTAATAGATAACTTTGTAACTTTAAATTGGCAGAATCTCATTGTTGACATGTTTCATGATTATTGGAAGTCTTAATATTTGGTGCCTTTTCTAAAAGCCTTGGGTAAAAACTGCAGATTCTGGAGTTGTGCAGTTTTGTAAGAATATCAGCTTTTTCAAAAAAAGAAAAATCTAGCTTTCATAGTCATAGAAAAAAACAAGGAACCGTTTCAAATATCTTAAATGGTAAACAAAATGATGTTTTGGGGAAATCCATTACAATCTGTATTGTTTGTGAATGCTTCTGGTCATCTATTAGCTTGGCCTTAAAAATAGTGAATTTAAAATATATAACTGAATCTTTGACAGTAAGTAAAAAGCTACCTTTTGGGGGGGGATCTTGGGGCCTTGTCATTTTTTTACAGCATGTTTAGCACTTGTGGATTAAGTATAAATAAATATGTTTGTTTTGTTGCAACAGTTTTCAAGCATGATGAGCTCTAGCATGATTCACAAATAATAGTTGGTGACACAAAGCAATCTTTTACACAAGATGGAATGGAGGATGTGACTACTGCTGTGGCACAATTTTCAACATCTCATCAATGTGAACTCATATTTTTTAATTTATATGGACTTTGCTTAAACCATTTAAATGGAATGAAAATATACTGTAAAATCAGTATATGGGAAATGTTTCAGTTTTCTTTTTGTTCTGAGCAAGGTAAGTGTGCTTTCATATTTTGTTGCCCTTTTCAAAGACAGATAACTTGTAGTTTATAAATAATACTGGATTGGACCATTTGAATTTATGTTGTATGGCATTTTTCTAGGATAGCTTGACTATAGTTGGTAAACATTAGACAATCAAATATTTAAAGGGACTGCCCTGTGTATCTGCATGTAGGCAAAGTTTTGCCAGCTCAAATTCCCTAGAATCTTATGTGCACATAAATTTGTTCATGCACTAGATGCCTGTGTTTACAAGAAAAATCACAGCAAAACAAGTATCATTGTAAAAAATAGCTTGTAACTGGAAAATAGAATTTATAACCAACCAAAAATTGTTTCAAAATATTTAGTGAGTAGTGTTTTGTAAAATAATGGCATGCAGAGAATACATTAACTAGTTTTCAAAGTCCCCTGTAAAGAAGTGCTTGAATAGTCACAGAACAACATTTAATTTTTTTTAAACGATAAAAGAAAATGGGCTGTATGTGGTACACAAAATATGAAAGGACATATGCCACTGAATGAGTCCTAATAAAACAATCTGACTGTACAGTCATTTTAATCTGCCAGCATTTTCCTTTCCTCTATTTAGTGTTATATTAAATATTATATACTACTACACTTAAAAGGGAATAACAGCATAGATATTTCAGTTTCCTTTAGTCTAGAAACCATATTTTTTCTGTGAAGGACAACAGCGTACATAGAATTATGGACACTTGCCAAGTTTTAAAATATGTGCACACTCTATATCATTGGAGAGAAAAATCAATGTGACATGGGTACTATAAAAGACTAGTTTTAGAAAGTAGTGTTGCTATTGAAGGGCTCAAGTTTATATGCATATTATTGTTTCAGGATTTTCTCTGGGTCTCATTTTAGATTTAAGAAGTGTAATAATTTTAAAGCAAAGAAAAGAACAAACATTGAGTAGCTGAGATTATTATTGTGGAAACATGTGGTTAATACTGAAAGCTGTTTCTCATTTACAACAATTATGATTCAAATTGAGCAACTTCCTTGGTGTTAAAGAAAGAAATTCTCTTCTGCTAGATCAGTGGTCTCCAACCTTTTTATGGTGAACATCACTTTTTGGAAGTACAAGGCACCCCAAGATCTGTCACATCCCTGCCCCTCCCCACCCCCCCAGACCATGGAGCATCCCAGACCCAGCTGGGCCAGGGCCCGATCCCACTTCTGTGCTGCAGCTGCACTGAGCCACACCCACCCGGTGGCCAGACAAATGTGGCATTGGGCCCTGGCCTGGCCAGGTCTGGAAGTCTCCATGGTGCATGGGGGGGAAGCAGGGGAGGGGTTCCCACTGCTGGGTGCAGTGTGGCAGAGGCCCCGGAGGCCCTTGCCCCCTTACCTGTGCTCCAGAGGCCTGGGGGGCCTGTGCCCTCCCCATGCTCTGAGAGGAGGCTGCTGCTGCTGCCCCCCATTATGCCTGGAGCACAGGTGGGGGGCATGGGCTCCTGAGGCCTCAGCTAGGCTTCCCCCAGCAGTGGGAGCCCCCCCCTACATGCCCCTGGACCACGGAGACTTTCAGGCCAGGACAGGACCTGATGCCTGGCTTGGGGGCCACGTTTGCCTGGTCACCAGGCAGGCACAGCTTATTGCAGCCACAGCACAAAAGTGGGATTGGGCACTGGCCCAGCCATGTCTGGGACTCTCCACCATCCAGGGGTGCATAGGGTGAGGGCTCCCGCTGCTGGACACAGCCTGGCAGGGGCCCCGGTGGTCCATTCTCCTCTCCCACTTGTGCTCCTGGCGCAGTGGGCAGCCTACAGCAGCTGCCTCATCCTGAGCACAAGTGGAGGAAGCACAGGGCCCTGAGGCCTCCGCCTGGCTGCGCCCAGCAGCAGGAACTCCCCCCATGCACCCCTGGACTGCTACATGCATCTGTCTGCTGGGTGGGCATGGCTCAGTGCAGTGGCAGCACAGAAGTTGGATTGGGCCCTGGCCTGGCTGTATCCAGGAAGATCTAGTCATCCAGGGTGCATTGGAGGGGGAGGGGAGGCTTCTGCCACTGGGTGCAGACCAGCAGGGAGGGTGTCAGGCCCAGGCCCCAGTACCCTTCCCTGCCCCCCCCCCCAATGCTCAGGACAAGGCAGCTGCTCCTGCATGTACCTAGCTCTCCCCCAACCCAGGATTGACCAGAAGAAGTTCTGTGATCAACCTGATTAGGACCAATGGGTTGGTGACCACTATGCTAGACCCTTATAAATACTAACATTTAATTCTCCTTTGAATGACTCTATATGCCCATCCTGACTGTGAGTGCCAAAGCTCAGAGACCTTTGCCTTAGCCACACCTGGAGGGTACACCATAGCCCTTGCCCTGCTTGTGCTTCACATCAGAAGATTTAAGAGTGGTATATGGCTCTTGCTCCCCAGGTCTCAACTACTGCAGCTCTTTCTGACCTACTAACCCTTTTGAAGACATTGCTTCATGGGCCTTCTGCCTTTCTATTTATGTTCATCTTTTTCCTTTTACAAAAAAGTTTGTTTTATTTTCTTACTCCTGTAGTACTAGTTCAGCCTTGTGCCTTCTCCCCCTTCCGCTCCCCACCTGGTTTTATTTATCATATAATGCTGCTTTTTTGCTCACCTTTTTCTTTTTGCTAGTTCTCTCTCTTTCCTTCTCTATCATTTGATAAATTAGGTATTAGGGCTCCTAGCTCTTGGTTCATCTCATTGTAGCTGTGCATCATGTATCCTCCAGTAGAGTTTCACTGATGAAATAATCTCTCCCCTTGGTTCTGGAGTAACCCCAAGACAGGTTTCTCAAGAAGGTCCCCATCTCAGGGTTGCCATTGCATTTTTCGCTACAAGTAGAGACTTAATACAAGAATACCAGTGAAGTTCCACTTCTCCATGAAAACAGTTTTCTTGGTGGAAATTACTTCAGCAAGAAAATTAAGTAAAATCCAAGTAGTCATGGGGGATCTTTCCTATACCGTCTCATCAAGGACACCATCTTGATAACATACTCCAGACTTCTACTGAAAGTGGTAATTGAGTTTTACCTGAGTCAGCAAAGCCAGCACCTGGCTGCTGATCTTCAAAGCCTTGTTTTTCCTCACTCATTGTGGAGAGACTCCTGACTAATCATTTAGCCCCCATATTTGCTTCCATAGCCAAGAAATCCATGAGAACTGCTATATCAGCACAAAGGCTGGTGAGTTGCATACCAGACCACTAGGTGGAATGATTGATTAGCTATAGTCAGAACTCAATATGCTAGAGCCCAGGTAACTTCTATACACCAACTGCATCTCTCCAAAAGAAGAATCTGTAAGGGAGCCACTTGATGCTCTATACAGCTAGGAAATTATGTCAATCTCCCATGCCGACACTGTTTGATAAAGCTGTCCTTTAGTTCCTGTTTGCCTGGGACTCCAGGACCCACCTTCAGGTATATGAGCACTGCTTTGGAGTCACCCAGAGTGAGGATTGTGCACATGGGCAACCATTTGAAGGGAAAACACAAGTTAGCAGTAACAAGTTCCTTGTGATGCACTGTCCAAATGCTCCTCTGTATCCTGGCCTCCTTCAGATTAAATAGTGAAGAAGAAACTGAGGAAAAAGAAGCATGCATCTCCCTTTATCACTGCAAAGGAGCACAAGGAAAGGTGGGGCTGTGTTCTACCATACAGATACCACTAAAGCAAAGTGCCTGTAAACTTAAGTGCTTGTAGTGCATGAACATCTAAGTCTGCATAGAGAACAGACTTTGAAGAACCTAGTTGCTAGTAAGAAAAGTTTCTGTCTTTCACAGTTATGATTTCATCCTTGGATTTAGGGTCTGGATTTCAGAACACAAGCAGTTAGAGTTGAGGCACTGAACCATCTAGTAATGAAGGGTTAACAAGCAGTATCCACCACATGAGGGAACTGTCAAATTGGACGAGACCCTTACTTCATCCAGTCCAGTATCTACATAAATCTGGAGACTACAACATCATATACCCAAATCCCAAAACAAGAAGGTATGGGATAATATAAAAAGTTTATACTGATCCCTAAAGGTTAGAGAAAGGCATGAGTTCTCAAACTTTTATTTTAATATTAACTTATAATTTTGGTTTTTCTTGTTGTTCATAAAAATCAGGGGTGTCCCTAGGATGGGAGACATGCAGAAGAAACCAGGGGAAACCAGGGCGAGCCCCTGGCTGCTACTACAGCTGGAGAAATAAAAGGCAGTGACAGCCAGGTGGGAGCCCAGGGGCTACATGTTAGCCCCTTGCGAGCTGCATCTGGCCTGCAGGCCACAAGCTGTAAAGTGCTGATATCAATGTTCAGTCCTGCTTTGAATCTTACTACGTTCTTGGCCTCAGTCATTTTCTATGGCAGTCTACCTATTGTGTAAAAGCATTTTTCTTTATTAGTTTTTAATTTGACGACTCAAGTTTTATTAGCTATTATCCCCTTGTTCTTGTTTTATGACACGTAAGCCTTACCTTCTCTCATCCTTTTTTTAATACCCAGCAAGCATGAGGTACATTGCCAGTTTTACCCTTAGATCTATATGATAATAGATGTAAGGTACTTTGAAGATGCTAAGTTATTACAGAGATGAATCCCAACTCTTTGAAGAAAGAGTCTTGACACCATAGCTGAGTAGTTCTGAAGGATCAAAATGCATAAGTCATTTTTTCCAAATACATTGTTTAGTATGAAAAATATAAAGCATTGGACCATGATGATTCCAAATGTAGGTATGTAGCATATTTAGTATCAAAAAAATGTACATGCAGTAATCATCGGGTAAGACACAAAAACAGTTAGAGCAAGGATTGGAACCCACAACTTCCAATATCCAGATGAGTCCCTTAACAACTAGACTACAAAGCTCAGCTGTCTCTTTGGCCCGATTAATTTAGAATTCTCTTGGCCTGTTCACCCTTCCCTTAATTACTTGCCTATCTGAGACAAAATGGATCATGATATACTACTGCAGATATTTTTTCAGGTAGTTTTGATAGATAAGACAGACGCAACATGTTTGTTTTATTACAGGTCAGGAACTTTTTATTACTGTGCATTTCTGCTATAAGGAAGCAGCAAACCTTGTCTTTTAAAACGTGTGGGTCACTATTTCACAGGTTCAGGCTTAGCAATTTCTTCTGCTACTGCTAATTGACTTGATTGATCTTTAAATCTTAAATGCAATTCAGATGGGCATTTTCTTCCTTTTTTCACACAATGAAGTACAGCTAACCTTGACTATATAAGTTTACCCCCAACTATGGATGGCCCATAGGTGAAAACTAACACTAGGGAGAAATGGATTAATAAAAATGGATGAACCAAGTATCACTTTAACACT